TTGGTTTTCTGAATATTGGAATGTGTTACATGGATACTCTAAGTCGATGTAATAGAAACAAGTCTCAGTATATATAAGTAACCCTTTATTTTAACATCTATACCTACCTAAGTGTAAAATGAGTTCAAAGTTTTATACCAAACTACAATGCCATATCATGGAATTATTCAGTCCCTGAATACCTATAGGAAGATTGTTTAATCAGCTAGAGTGCAGTATATATGAGGATTCTTTTTAGAGTGACAGAGTCCTCTTTGTTGCAAAGTGATTTAACTCGATCAATATCCATTCTCCAAATTTTTAAAAAGAAGTCCTAGTCTGTCTTTATGATATGGTTATATGTCTTTATGAATATGCTCACTTGTGGAATCGTCTTAGCATTTCCTAGAGGTACTCATATACATGACCAATATTAACACTCAATATTAGGTATAGAAAGTATAATAAGTTTTGTAAATGCATAATATTGTATATTTATCACTACAATATCAGAAAAGTACCATCAACCTAAAAACTTCCTTATGTTCACCCTTTTCACTGTCTGTGCTTTTCTAAACTTTTTTGGTTTTGGTATTTATTTATTTTATTTATTTATTTATTTTGCATGACAGCCACAGTTTTCCCTCCTTCCTCTCCTCCCATTCCCTCTCCCCACTTCCTTTTACTGCTCCCATCCACTCCACTCTCCTCTCCATTCAGAAGGGGTAAGCTCTCCCATGGGAGTCAACAAAGCATGGTATACCAAGGTGAGGCAGGACCAAGGTCCTTCCCTTGTACCAAGGCTGGGCAAGGCATTCCACCCTAAGGAATAGGTTCCAAAGAGGCAGCTCATACATCATGGACAGATCCTGGTCCCATTGTGAGGGGCCCCACAAAAGACCAAGCTACACAATCGCACCCACATGCAGAGGGCCTAACTGAGTACCATGCCAACTCCTTAGCTATCTGTGCAAGTATGTGAACTCCCACAAGCTCCCACAAGCTCTCTCTGTGGTTTTTCCCTGTGATGATCTTGACCCCCCTTCTCTCTCTCTTCAACTGAACGCACAGTGCTTGGCTGTGGATCTCTGCATCTGTTTCCATCAGTTACTAAATGAAGACTCTGTGATGACAATGAGTGGAGTCACCAGAGAATTACAGGCAATGGATACTGTTTACTATCACTACAATATATCCTTTATCGGAATGTCACTTTATACTATGTGTTCTGATGATTTTCCTTCACTGAACAATACACACTGGACATTGATCCTTATTTTTATGAATTGATGATTTTGTATGTTTTTTCTTCAATAGTGTTCTCTCCTTCTGAATACAGCCATCAGATAATTCATTAGTCTATGACAGAAATTGTGGTTGCTTTACATTTTGTTACATTTGTAGTATTGAGACTGAAACATAGCCCTAACAATGTGAATACGTTGCACAGTGCCCTATCACTATTAATTATTAAACCTTGATTGTGTTTTCAGGGCTTATGAACAACACTTCTACTAGCACTCATTTTATATATTTTTCATTGACATAATTGTATATGTATTGAGAAACAACTACATGTGTTCATTGATGAAAAAATGATGAATGATCATACTAAATATGAAGGGCTGTAAATATTGTCACTGACTTATTATTTCTATTGTGAAACAAGTATTGGTTCTAATAAATAATTGGTGTATAATATTGTTCTCAGAAATTGTTTTTATTAATGAGAACATTATTGAGTATAACTACATAAATTTGTTTTCCATTGAAATTCTTGTGAGGTACTCTTTCGTTTTCAAATTATGTTTTTCCATTGTTTAATTTTAATTTTCTTTCAGTTTTGAAAATATTTTCCTGTTTATATGTGTACCATTCTGCATTCCTTTAACAGTGATTTTAATGCTAATTACTAATAATTTTATAAGTTATATTTAATATTTTTCCTTTTGCAGATGATGCCGTGGATATGGTGTATTAATTCCATCTGTAAACCAACATTAGATATTTCAATCCATAATGTCTTCCAAAATTTCTACACTTTAAAATTTGCATTCATCTCCATTATCCCTTGGGAACTAATTTTTTGTCTGTGTGCATTATGAAACCTTATGTCTAGTTTCATTTGTTTGCAAATAGATACCCTGTACTGCTGACACTACTTTCTGGAAGAACTATTCTTTCTTCATTGATTTTGCTTCACTTCTTTCTCAGAGATCAGTTGCTTCTATTTGTGGATGCCTATTTCTGTGTTCTCCATTCTGCTTCACTGCTTGGAGTGTCTTCTTTTCCAAAGCTATCTGTGGTTCCCACACAATCTTGAAATTTGACAAGTATTCCAAATATCCTCTCAGTCTGTTTTGGGTTGCTTTACTTACTATTTTGCATTTTCATATGTCTTTTAAAATTATACTCAGCATCTACAAAATGATTTTCTTGAATTTTGACTTATATTTTATTGAGAAGTACATGATTTTAGGAATTATTAAAATGTGAGCAATATCTATTCTCCTAATCCACACAGATAATTAATTCTTGTATATGTGTTCTAAATGCTTGTTGGATTCTTGATTACAAAATTTATGTTACTATAAAAGATACATGACAGACTTTGATGATCACACATGGAAGGCCTCACCCTCCCTGGGAAGTGTATGGGCAGTGGGAACGGGGTGTCGGTGGGAGGCAGGTGAAGATGGGAGGGAGAGGGAACTTGAATTGATATGTAAAATAAGATTGTTTCTAAATTAAATAAATAAATTAAAAAGGTATAATTTCAAAATTGAAATACACTGTAATGCAATTGTAGTTTTCATAATTTTTATAAAATACTATTCATATAATACTGTGATAATTGTAATGTACAATTCAGTGGCATTAAATACATTCACAATGTAATGTAAAACTCAACAGTGTCTAATACCTGACTTTAAGTCTTCCTGAGTACAAGTTTCACATCAATTAACCAGTTGATCTTAAAACTCATTCCCTAATCCTTTTGTGCCCTATTTGACATGCTTCCTCTCTCTACACATTATCCTTTCAGAATTGTACCTTGTTTCTTTTATATATATATAGTTTTTATTTCTAAATTATTTAAATTTAAATTAGAAACAAGGTTGCTTCACATGTCAACTCCAGGTCCCTCTCTGTTTCTCTCCCCTACTCCGAATTGTACCTTTTAACAATTCATGTTTTTTTTCTATTGCATCTTTGATTGCTTGTCTGTCTACTTTTCTTTTATATATATATTTTTATTTAAATTTGAAGCATTCTCATTTTACATATCACTTCCAGTTCCCTCTCTCCAATTCATGTTTTTTGTTTGTTTAGTTTTTGTTCAGTTTAGCTGGTTTTAATTAATTGTTTTTAAAATACTTAGGTTTTTGTCTCATCTATCCTGATGCAAATATTGCTTTCAAAGACACACATGACAGGGCATGAACGCAAAAGAGTTTGGGGTAAAGGAAGAACAATTTAAGTACATGTGTTGCACTGAGTTATGGGAAAGGAAATAATGAGAAGGAGAACCACAAAAAAGTTTTGTATAAATCATGAAGGTACCTACCATAAAAGGCTGATTTTTTTAAAAATAAAAAGTACCCAAACAGTTACAAAATGTGTTCTATCTCAAGAGTTTTTAACTTAGTAAGTTTTCAATCAGCTCAGACATCACTTTTTGTTATCTTTCCAGGTAAAGTACCAACAATGACTAAGGACCACTCTCCTATATAACCTTAAAATATCATGTATAGATAAAATTTAAGATACAATACTGAATTTTCCTAATAAGTGAATGAAAGAGTTTTCAATGTGTCAGATTAATGATTTAAGCACCTTTACTTGTACATTATCAAAATTGTTTACAAAAGGAAATAGGTGTTTGTTATGATATTCAGAAGAAGGGAGTTGGATGTCATCAGGTTAAGGAGATTCAGTTTAAAGTATCTTCTTTGGAATGATTAACTTATAATGCATAGTATTCCATCTTTGGTAACAAGGGAAAAATAGCAGTTAAGAGGTTTACCTAACCTGGAAGACCTCTACTAGCTCTAAGTGTGTGTGCATGTGTATGTGTTTGTGTATGTTCACATTTGTGCCGAAGTGTGCACATATGCGCATACCTGCATGTATGCGTCTGAGCTTACTCTACAATTAGGTGAAACGAATTGTATTAATTAGAATATGTCCCTGTTTAAGAAGGATTAACCTAAAAATGATGGGATATAAATGAAAAAAATGTAATATTTTTGGTTTCATGAGGAACTGTAAGGAAATTCAAATATACATGCTTAACCAACTGGAGGATCTGTAGCTAAATACCGAAACAGAGAACTGAGGGTCACAGTAGAGGCTTTGAAACACTTTCAGTTCATAGTTAATACCACCCCCCAAATTTCTATGGTCATATTTCCCCTTAAGTTTTCATCAATCTGATATGAGAGTTCTTCAAAAATGTATATTTATTATAAAATTAACCATTTTTTGAGGTAGAGAATTTTCTTTTTCTTGAACTCCAATGTGGTAGATTAATATTTTAATGTTTGTTTCATGAGTTCAATGACTGTAATCTACATATAAGCATTAATCCCACCAGTGGCAGGTCTTTCATTTAATTAGAATAAAGCTTCTGGGCTACAACCTGGAGCCACAGCTAGGCAGCTTCATCTCGTTGGTAATGAGGAAAGCTTTGAATGAAATAAATACTACAATTAAAAAAACTTAAAAAAACTGATTTCAGAAATAAAATCTTGCAATTTTGTTACAAGAGAATCCCAGTCTTTCTCCGGAAATCTAAGGTGGAGTGTGGGAAGACAGGATCTGTGTCATTACTAATATCCCACTGAAACACAAGAGAAGGCTGGCACATTTTAGAAGAGGGGCAGTAAAACAAATATTTTACTTTTTCAATTTTAAAAATTAAATGCAATTTATTTCTATATTCGTTAGTGAAAGCCACATGTTTGCAGATGCCTACAGAGAAGAGAAGGGCATGCCAGATCCCTTGGAGTTTGACTTACAGGCAGTTGTGAGTGGCCCAACATGGGAACTGAAGTTGGGTCGTCTGTAATAGCAATAATCATCCTTAACTGCCAAGCCATTCCCCCAGCCAAGAAAGCCTGATTTTAATTAAGCATGGAGAGGTGGCTTCAGGGACTTTTACCTAGAAGGAAGAAAAACAATACAAAATAAAATTAACCAACCAAGCAAACAACTCAAAATTCATTATGTCAGATGCAGTTTTATTTACACATGAGAGAGCATTTTAGTTTTGACAGGAACTAAGATAAAAATTTATCAGTATTCACACAGTTCCTGTAAGAAAGTTAGAAAAGAAGCACTTTCCTTTGATTAAACCTCAGCTCAGTATAAACATTGATAAGAGTGATAAGCAGTATAGATTTTTGAAAGATATTTTCCTGGACTGTAACATGAGATGTGATATTGTGAAATTCCCCTAATAAATAAAAGACCTGTAGGATAAAAACAAAAATGAGTGCTTTATTTACAATACCAGACAGCATATGACCTGCCTCCCTGTCATTTTTTGTTTTGTTTTGGGGTGATGTCTGTTAATTACCTCAGTCCAAACATGGTCATTGATTTCCTCTGGATTCCTCTGAGGGAGATCCAGTTGTGGATTTCTGAACAGTTTGGGAGGGAGTCATGGCAAAGACCCTGGCTTCCTCAGGGCTGTGGGAGGAGAAGCATTGATTGCCTTGCTGGCATGTGCCCTTCTTCAACTATCCATGAGGGACTATCTTGAGTACTGCACACTGAGCCTGGAACTCAGTCTGACTTCTGCTTTTTCTGCAGCAAGCTCAACCTCTCCTGCTGGTGGCTATTTGTTGCCTTTTACCTTGTTTGGGCACAAGGACTACAACCCAGCTGGATTCAGTGTTGGCCTTTAAGTGTTTCACTCTTTGCCAGTAAGAACAGAGGTTGACATTATCTCAGATAAGAACTTAGCTTTCAGCCTGGTCTTCCTTCACCCAGGAATTCATGGAAGGAAATGTGCACCATCCAATCTTACAAGCATAGGCAAGTTTATTAGTTCTTTTTCTATTGCTGGACAAACTACTATGACTAAAGCAACTTATAGAAAGAAGGGAGATGTATTTGGGTTTATGATTCCAGAGGGATAAAAGTCCATCACAGTCATAGCTTGGAAGGATGGCAAGAGGGAAGGATGCCAGCTGGAGTAGAGAGCCCAGAACTGACATCTTAAAATGCAAGCAGGAAGCGTAGATAGTCTTTAAAGTCTCAATGCTGGCTCCAGTGACACACATCTGGATCCATTGCATCTGCTTGGACATGTGAAAGGGTTACTGCCTCCAGGACACACCTCCAAGCAGATGCAATGGATCCAGATCATCAGTCTGGAAACATACTGCATGCTGCACGCTCTCTCTCCCTCCTTCCCTTCCTCCCTCCCTCCCTCCCTCCCTCCCTCCCTCCCTCCCTCCCTCCCTCCCTCCCTCCTTCCCTTTCTTCCTCCCTCCCTCCCTCTCTCCCTCCCGCCCTCATTCCCTCCCTCCCCTTCACTCCCTCCCTCACTCCCTCCTTTCTCTATATCTGTCTCTGGAGGTGTAGCTTGATGAAAATGTATGCTATATTCTCAGGCACTTGTTCCCCAGTTACTAGAACTCTTTGGGAGACTTATGGCCACCCTGGACTCTGCCTCTGCCCATAGGGAACTAACAAAATGGTTGTCACTTCCATAGTCCTTATACTCAAGGGGCATAAAAGCATCATGGGCCACAGAGAATTTCTTCTGGTCACCAGGGTCTCCTGAAGCATTTCCAATACCCATCAGGTGGAATTCTCCACAACACACTCTCTGACTCAGCATCACCTGCTTTCTGGCAGAAGCCTGGATTTTGGCTTGGCCTGTGAAAATAATTCACAAACACCTCTATTTCGAAGGGCCAGACTGTGGAAATATGATCCTTAGGGATATCTGGTGTCAGTCTCGGCTCTTGACGGCCATAAACCATCTTTGCTATAGTATTTCTTGTCTCTGTTTCCAATCATCACTGCCATGTCCGCACAGGTGACAGACAGAAGTCCTCCGTTTTTCACAGCTTGCACTGCTGAGTCCACTGAAGTGGCAGGGCTTCTCTAAGAGTGCAGACCAAGGACTTCAAAGGTGTTCCGTGTGTTTTGGTGTTGGAACACTAGTATCCTCAGAGATCACGCCCTCTGTGGCTATCCTGGTTGTTAGAAGTCAGTCTCCTGGGACCGGGTTTTCCTCCTCTTTCAGTTGAACTTTTTCCTCCTCTTGAATAGACAAGTCCACAAGCAATAATGGTAGTTTTCTCACCTAGAGGCTTGTACTGGAGTCTACTTCTCTCTTGACGAATTGAGCAAACTTGGTGATCACAGCACATCTGGAGGATTGGAACGTTCATCTTGCACAATCGTAATAACACATCTGTTCCAATACTTTTTTAAAGTTGAGATTTGATTCATGTACAACAATAGCCCCTCTGAAAGTGTAAATTTTCTTAAGCCCTAGATTTTTGCAGTTGTACAACCATCATCATTGCCTGATTATTGAATATTTTCATCATTCCAATAAGGAATCTTTCATAAATTCTTACCAAATAATTTCACATTCCTATTCTCCAGCTGCAAGCAACTATGTTTACATCTATTTATGTGGATTTGTATAGTGGAAAAAATCGTATCAGTGAAATTATACAGAATTTATCTTTTTTTAATTTCCCCATTTTGCTTTTTGTGATATTATTTCCCCTTATGCCTTTTTGTGATTGAATTCATTCCTTTGTACTTTGTATTAGCTTCCTAGGGATATGTGTGATGGTTCGCTTACAAATAAAAATGTATTGTCTCACATTTATGAGAGCTAGAAATATGTATTGAAGGCCATAATCCCTCTAAAATTTTGGGTGGAGCCTTTGCTTTTTCCTAGCTTCCAGTAATATTACTGGCCCTATTGCTTCCTTGGCCCAGAAGTATTTCCACCTCCTCTCTGCTGGAGATCACTTGATTTTGTTCTGAGTTTTTCTATCTTCAAATGATGCTCAGTTCTTTCCCACTCCTTAATAGCCTCATAATTACTTAACCATGTTTGAAAACTTCCTATTTTGAAATGAAGTTTCATTCATGAGTACTTTAGCTGAAAGTTTTAACATACATTTAAGGGGAAACAGGACAATCCACAATGTTAGTTGTTTATTAATTATTATATTAGTTGTTAAGCGTGTGGACATTTGTTTTCTTTAAACAGTTTGAGTATCATGAATAAAACTTAAATGGAACTGATATATATTGCAGATTATATTGATTTTACCTGTTTGAGTATTTTGTAGTGCTTATTTGATTGCCACTCTCCTTCCCCCAGGAAATATACCTGAAAGTAGAACTGATGAGTTATATAGAAATGCTTTCTTATTTTCTTTATCTAATAATAAAAAGTTTTCAAAAAGTGTTCATATACATTATGCAATCCATCAGTGTTTCCAACTTGAAATTTCTGCCAACACTTACATTCTATCATTGGAATTATAGTTATCAGATGGATAAAAATTATGTCACTACTTATAATGAGTATCATTTCATATGTTTATTAACTACTTTAGCACAAAATCCTACCCCTATTATTTATTGGGCTATATGTCGCTCTTTAATCCTGGGTTAAATGAGATGTTTTGCTAGTAAATAAACAATGAGCTGGAATGTTGAATCTGAATTATATAAACATAGAGTTGCTTACTCTAAAAAATTCATAACATGTGTCTTATGCATGTATTAGAATTGTTTGTGAAATTATGTAATTAATATCAGCTATGGTGTGCAAAGGAAGGGATATGGCAAGATATGTTTCTTTGAGTCTTTCCTGTAACATTAATGACTCAGGGTAATAAGCATGGGCTCTTATGACATTCCTGATAACTTACATAAAAGAACGAAATTTAGTTAAGGAGAAAATTATGTATGACAGATAAAGTCTAGTTTATATTGCAAATTACCTAGATGATAGAGGTTTACTTAACATCAATATCTATGAATTACACCTGTGAGAGTAATTGTAAAATAAGGGCTATTCTCATCACTATAGTTTCTATTTTTACAAGGAACCTATTTACCAGAGGGTTTGCAATGTATTGATTGTGTCTGTGTGTCTGTGTTTTCTCAAGTTCAGATAACCAGGAAATAAAAAGATTACAGTTATGCATATTAAATTCTTCCTCCCCAGGGAATACCAGACAGACATCATTTACATTTTCTAAAGAGTTAAATGAATTTCTCAAAACTAAAAATTATGTATGATCATGGTACTATTAAGAACCCAAGCTTTTTCTTTTATTTATATATTTATTACTTGTTTATTTTTTAATAGAAGCAAATGTATTCTACATAGTTAGGTATTCTTACCTTGCTACAAATTCATTACTGAAATGAGTTGTTCCCAATGTAGGCAAATGAACTCAAAGTGTGCTGTATCACCACCCCCTGGGAAATCTAGGAAGTTTGGAATCATATACCCCACATTAGACCTATTCAATCTGTTAAAATTCAGTCCTAGTTCTCATTATCACAAACCTATTGCAGCTACTTTACCAAGTACTGATATAGACTGCATAAATATTATGAGGAGTCCTTTCAAATAATCCAGGCTCTCTCTCTCTCAGTTTAAATCAGTATTAAAGTTTGCTTCAAGAGCTGACTCTGTGATTGCATTTGGTAATAGTTGTTCTTAAACTTATGTTTAGATATTTTAATGTACATGAATCTCTTGACCTGCTTTGATGTACATATTCTGGGCACCCATACAGTTACATGTGGTAATATGACATTTTGTGGGTACTGAGAACTGCAGCCAGGTCCTCTACAAGACCAGTGAAGCTCTTAAAGACTGATATATCTCTAAAGTGCCCAACTTAGCAATTTTTGAGGATAAAGGAGCTTTGGGTATTTTTGTCATTTAAAACACTTAAAGGTAAATATTATTGATATTGTGAAAATACTTATCAAACTATAATGAAATATCATATTCCATAGTTACAATTGCTACTACAAAAGAAAATGACAAACATTGATAAAGACATGTGGGGAAAAGTAATCCCTTGTGCTCTACTAATGCAAATGTAATTCACTTAGGTCATTATGGAGAACCACAAGGGTATATCATAAAATCAACACAGAAACTAAACAAAAAAATCAAAGAAATCTCAACCATCTATCATAGTTCTGAGTATATATTTCAAATGGATTAATCAGCATACCAAATACAACAGTCATGTTTTATGTGGCACTGCTAACAATATCAAAAATAGAACATTAACTTAGGAATTAATAAATAGATAATTATTATTGTTAGCAACTTTATTCATTGTTATGATATAACATACAATCAAAGCATGTCCATATAAAAAGAGTTGTTTTGACTCATCTTTTGAGGTTGCAGTACCTTCTAATAAGGGAGGCACAGAAGCAGAAACAAGGGTCACACTGCATCAGTAGTCAGCATGAAGAGAGAGTACTAGTCCTCAGATCACTTGCTTTTCATGGTGCCACAAACACTTAGAATGGGTCTCCTCCTAATTCATGGAATTCAATACCTCACACATGAATTCAGAGACTTATCTCTTTACTTATTCCTGATCCGTAAATTTGATAATGCATGTTAGTTTTAAGCCCACTCATATCACTTTTAAGCTATAACTTTCCAACAATTATTACCAAAGCTAATAGATATGCAATAATGCAAAATGCATTCAGTCTCAATTCAAATTTTTCTATAATTTTAAGAATTCTAACAATGTTTAAGGTAAGTTACTGTTGTGTTCCTGTATGTGTCTGGTAGCTCACAACCATCACTAACTCCAGTGTCAGGGGGCCTAAAGTACTGCTATAGTCTCTGTGTTCACCTGGTCACATGTTATTCATAAACTCATGCTAACACAGACACCTATGAAGAAATAAAGTACAGTAAAATTGGAAATTCCAATACTTTCTGAGAATCAAGGTTTTCTCTCACTGACAATTCTTGTGGGAACAAAAAAATCAGCATGTCAAAACACCAAGTGTGTAGCGCCATGTAAACTACATTAGGGTCATGATGGAATCTTTGAGCTTCAAAGTGCTTGAGCAATTATCTCCATGAGCTCTGTTGAATAAAGTACTAATAATTTCTCTCATGGGTGAGGTCTACTCCAGCTTTTCTTGGCTTACATACCTGACATTTCCAACATTATGTACTCTCTACTTCACTTTAGATATTATCTTCACATTTAATACCTAATGGCTTGCTTGAATGGACTAATGATTTACCACATATTGCCATATTTTGGAGCCTTGACACAAGTATCTATGATGCTCTCACACACAGGACCTGACAGATTCAAATGCATGTATCTTTTGACTTTTGTGACTAAATGAGTTTCTTGTGATTTATTTTGGTTCTTTTTCTTGCTTGATTGTATTGTCATATCCCAATTTGTTTTTTATTTATTTCATTGTATTGGATATTATTATTCCCCAGATGCCTGTGTTTTTTTCTAAGGAGAGATAGAAAGTGTGTGGATCCAGATGGAGATAAAGTGAGGAGGAACTAAGTCAAGTAGGGGGAGGGAAACCATGTTTAGGATATATTGCACAAAAATACTTCTCTTTAAGATAAGAAAAATTAAAGAATAAATAAGAAAACAAAAATATTTAAATAAAATAAACATCTATCTTCTTCCTTTCCTACCCTTCATTTATTAATCAATGTGACATGGTGTATATTCAACTAAGTCAGCATTCTATGTTTTCTATTATAAAAATTATTGAATATGTTAAAACAAATTTGTATTCATAACAAACTATACATGCATATAAAGGAACACAAATTATTACAGATTAATAAGCAGTATTGTTTGAAATATTATACAAACATTATTTTAAAATAGGTATTTAAATTAAATATCATCACATATACTAATGTATCATTTCTAAATTTTGAACAATGATAAAATACAAGAATGAGGTTACAGAATAATAGTTAACATTAAAAATAGAACAAATAAAGACTACTGATACAAGACCATGATCTCGGACTTGCGTATATTGTCTCATGCCTAATCAAGCATGTGAGAGGATGAGACTTTGGTAGCTGTGGTAAGATGATTGACATTAGTTCAAGGCAACACTGAGTTACAGTACTACTGAGAGACTGCCTCAGAACATCAAGACAAATTAATAAAAACTTTCATCTCATGTTTTGCATTCATACTATTTATCTAATCCCCTTTCTTCCAAATATTCTTAATATGGATATTATATATTGTGTATTAATGGGAAATACTATTTTAACCAATGAATGAAGTAGTTTGCTGTGTATTTCAGTGTTTTAAAGGTAAAATTCTTGAGTGTCTGTGCAATTATCAAAGTCTGTTTTTTTAAAATAAACTGTCTTTGCTTAAAGAAATAGTTCCCTTTTGCTAAAATTTAAATTACATTTATTCTTAATACACTAAATTAATATAATTGGTTATGAAAATATAAACAAAAATTCAGTTCCTAATTTAGTATATACATAAAGTACATATCAATCTATATTAGTAAAACATTTTTGCAATAAACCCATCTAGAAACCAATAAGGGCTTTTTATTACATACTATTTATTTTTAATATTTATCAACCAAAATCGCAAATATTATTGTCTGTTTAACTCCTATCTCTAAAATGTTCCTGTATTAACTTTATTTTCAATGGATATGTTATTATAAGTAAGATTTTCTTCTTTTCTACTCCAGCTTCAGAATAATGTATGCAACATTGAACGTGTTCCTGAGATCTTATACAACAGGATTAGGACTAACTATACCCTTGCACTCTACATTATTCTTTTAATGACAACTCCAGTGCCATTTAATGTTATTTCTTTAATGCAAAAAAAAGATCTCTTCATTTGCTTCATCACTTTAACCTTGAAAATCATCTGGTTTAATGGGTTTGGTTTTGATTTTTTTCCTCATTTCATTCCAAATTGCACTAAGGTATTCATGACTGTATGGAGTTTATAATGAATCCAACCGCATATCACTGAAAATGACACAGAGAATCAGAGATACAGCCACCTTATTAATATTATTTTATCCACAGGAAGAATCATGTTGCTGTTTGAAATTTACTTTCATATCACCCACTTCAATGACATTTTTAATGACCCTGTCATATTATTTTGCTACAGAATTAAAATCTATCATAACTCTACTGAAATAGTGAGTTTTGGAAGTCCATAGTTCTTCTTGTACAATATAGAAAAGCAGGGGATAATTTGTTTCAACAGGTGGTGCAGTACTTCTTACATTTGTTAATTTTACGCTAAAATGAAGGAATAACCTATCTTGAAGTTTATTGATATAACAC